TTGCTGCTAACAAATTACCTCAAAACTTAGTGTCTTAAAACAACAAATATCAAAGAGTTTCTATAGGTCAGGAATCTAGGCGTAGCTTAGCTAGTATCTCTGACTCAAACCTTATCTGTCACAAGGCTGCAATTAAGATTTCATTCGAGGTACAGTCTTTAGGCTTAATGGCAGCAGGTTTTCTTCCATGCTCACTCACATGGCTGTTGGGAGGCCTCGGGTCCTTGCTGGCTGTTAGCCAGAGACATTAGTCCCTTGACTCATTGGTCTTTCCATAAGGCAGCTCACAATATGGCAGCTGATTTTCCTCAGAGCGAGTGAGGAGAAGAGTGAGAGAGAACACCCAAGACAGAAGCCACAGCCTGTTTATAAGCTAATCTCTGAGGTGACATTGTACCACTTTGCTGTATTCTGTTTGTTAGAAGTAAGTTGCTAGGTCCAGCCCACATTCAAGGAGAGAGGGTGTGAAGACTTGGAGGCAGACATCATTGGGGGGCCATTTTACAGGCTGTCTACCAGAGGTTCAAAGCACATAATACAATAAAAGACCACCGCACAGAGCACTGACACACTGAATCCAAAAAGTGGTGATTGTGGTCTATTACAAACAAGCTGAGTCTGTAGCAAAAGCCTTGATGGGCGCCTGGGTGGCTCAGTCGGTTAAATATCTGACTTGAGGTTTCAACTCAGGTCATGATCTCAGAGTTGGTGGGATTAAGCCTTGTGTTGGGCTCTGTGCTGACAGTGTGGAGCCTGTTTGGGGTTCTCTCTCTCTGCCCTTCTCCCGCTCATACACTCTCTCTCTCAAAATAAATAAATACATAAAAATAAAAAAGAAAAAGCCTTGAGATTCTGATGATACTACCAGAAGGATGTTAATATAAAATGTGCTAACAGGTGGCAGTAATGCTTATAGAAGGGTTTTTTTTTAATGTTTATTTTTGAGAGAGAGAGAGAGACAGAGTGTGATCAGGGAAGGGGCAGAGAGAGAGAGGGGGGAAGACACAGAATCCGAAGCAGACTCCAGTCAGCACAGAGTCTGACGCTGGGCTCGAACTCACAGACTACGAGATCATGACCTGAGCCGAAGGTGGATGCCCAACCGACTGAACCACCCAGGCGCCCCATGCTTAGAGCAGTTTTTTAAAAATTTATTTTTATTAAATCTGAAACAGATACAAAATGATATTTATAAAATATATGTGAGATATAAAGAATAGTGATAAGATGGAGGTGTGTAGATGTATGACCATCTCAGCCAGTGTAAGAGAAAGGGGATGGCCATTACTTCCGAAGCCTCCAGTGCTCCCCTCTCCCCTCCCCGTCTGGGCGCACCATCATCCTGCATATTGTGATCATTATTCACTTGCTCTTCTTCACAGTTTTACCACAGATGCTTGTAGCCTTACCCAAGATATTTTTTGGTTTTTCCTGCTTTTGATTTTATATGAATGGGATCACACTCTAGGTATTTTGCTTCTTTCACTCAAGATTATGCTTCTGAGAAGTATCCAGCTAATGTGTTCACACTGATGTTTTGAATTTGAACTAAACTTCACCAAGCTCTTCATAGATCACTCGAATACAAGAGCAAACTCAATTTTATTATTCAAGCCACCAGCTTTCTCTTCACTTTTAGATACAACACTGGACGGCTAACCTGCAACTCACATGTACACGTATTAGTGGACACTTGGGTTAGTTTTGGGGTTTTGCTACATAAATAGTGCAGCTACGAACATCACTGGTTTCCTGGTACACTTGTGCAAACATTTCTTCAGGGGGTATATCCGGGAAAGGAACTGTGGGTTCAAATGTATACGAAGGTTCAGCCTTAAGAGATAATCCAGGTTGTTTTCCAAAGTGATTGTAGTGATTCACATGTCCACCAGCAGTGAATAAATGTTTCAGTTGTTCCAAATCCAACCCAGTATTTGATAATGTCTGGCTGAATATTTTTTGCCAACCTGGGGACGCCTGGGTGGCTCAGTTGGTTAAGCGTCCGACTTTGGCTCAGGTCATGGGGGTTGTCAAGGTCAAGCCCCAAACTGGGTTCTTTGATGTCAGCTTGGAATCCGCTTCAGATCCTCCATCCCCCTCTCTCTGCCCCTCTCCTGCTTGCTTGCTCTCTCTCCAAATAAATAAACTTTTAAAAAAGTGTTTTTGCCAACCTGGAAGGTATAAAATTAATTTCATTAAGGTTTTGATTTGCATTTCACGTGAGTTGTGTGTGTGCATGTGTGTATAATTTTTTAACCACATTGGCAAGTGCAATCCAGTGATCAAACAAGACTCTGAACTCCACCCTCAGATATTCATCTACGTAACTATTTGCTCACTGTCACTTAACTCACTGTCATAGTAAATTCTCTGGTTAAAAGTTAAATGCATAGAGTCAAGGTTTGTAATAATAACTTAGTGTAAGGCCTATGTTGCAAAATGGTAAATGGTAGAAAGTCAAATGGTGAATAAAAAAAATAATTTTCATGGGCACTTTACTCCTTTTATGTTTATTTTGATGTATTATATGAAGGTGTTAAAGAGAATTGGGGAGAAAGGAAGTCATACACCTCTAGTTTATACATCATCTCTGCTGCCCTAAATGGTATACATGCAAAGAAGGAGTGGACCACTGATATTGGACAGAATTTCTTCCTGGTAAAGACCCCGACAGGTGGTGCTTTTTACATATTCAGAAAAGTGTTACACTGAAATGTTAAAAAGGAATTACTCTCCTTAGATGTTATTCTACATGGTCAACATCGGACCGTAAACATGCTGAAGCTGGGGTTGATTAAAATGTTAAACTTAGTGAGGTCATATCCTGATTGGACTATACCCGAGAAACACGTTTCAGGACAAGTCCAAGTTCCAAGTATAACACCAGCTGCAAATGGGCAAGAAATCAGGTGATCAGTAATAGCTGGTGGCAGTCTGTTCTAAGAGGGAGAGCTGAAGAAACAGAACTTGCTCGCCACTAGGATTAACTCCTGGATCCCAGGAGTCTGAGTGGGCCTGACTTGCGATGGACGCAAGTGATAGAACAGACAGTGGAAGCTGGGGGCCCCTAATGTTGCACTTGGAGCTCCCTTCTGTCAAAACTAACATAAAAAACAGACCAAGGTGACTTCCACTCACGTATTGTTGGAGTATAAACTTACATATTTTTTTAAGTTTATTTATTTTAAGGGAGGGAGGAAGCGCAGAGAGAGAGAAGGAGAGAGAATCCCAAGCAGGTTCCACGCTGAACCCAGCATGGGGCTTGAACCCATGAGCTATGAGATCATGACCTGAGCAGAAATCAAGAGTCCAGCCCTTAACCAACTGAGCCATCCAGAAGCCCCTAAACTTACATTAAAAGATATTTTTCAAATGTATTTTTTAATATATTTTTATTATTTTGTTAACGTTTATTTAGTTTTGAGAGACAGATCAAGAGGAGGAGAGGGGCAGAGAGAGAGGAAGATAGAACCTGAAGCAGGATCCAGGCTCTGAGCTGTCAGCACAGAGCCCAATGTGGGGCTGGAACTTATGCACTGTGAGATCATGACCTGACTGAAGTCAGATGCTTAACCAAGTGAGCCACCCAGGTGCTTAGAAGCACTTTAGCAGAGTATCAAGACCTTAACCACCTATTTGCTGATCATGTGAATCTGTCCAATGATCTGGGTTACTGAGGATGAAATAAACACATTTGAATTATCTCAAGAAACATGAAGAGACTACAGACACAGAAGCCCAGGAAAGTGTCAACATCCCAGCTTGAGAAGTGACCAGTCCCCCCACAGATGTGAGGTTGGCTAGCCAGGGGAACTCTACACAGAGGATCTCAAGGCGCTACTTCTACCCATGGTGCTCTAGGGCTTGCTTACCCCCCTCTCTGAGCTAGCTTTTCACCTGACTCTTGCTCACTTTGTTTCTACAGCCACAATCATCTTCTGGCAAGACCACCTCTTAGTCGACTTTCTCAGTACTTCTCATTTGAACCTTGAGGAAGAGAATCTGATTGGCCAGATCATCATACAAAACTAGGCAAGTGATGGGTCTTTGGCCAGAGGAAGCATTGGCTGCCCTTGGATTAGATGTCTTTCTGTGGCCCAATTAGCTAGGGATAAGGGGGAACAGGCCGTCCACATCCCTTCAGTGCAAAGACTGGCACCAAGACTTTGGGCGGGCAAAGACTGTAATGGACACCTCAAAGAACCTAAGAAAAAGATTCAGAGATGGAAGCACAAGGTGAATTAAAGTACTTTTACAGCACACACACACACACACACACACACACACACACACATACAACAATACTGAAAAAGCCCAATGACCATCAATCAATAAAGGATGAATTCTGGGCTGCCTGGGTATGTGACAATGACCAGCGAATGCAGGATTTTGAAGAATATTGAAGAAGGGGGAAATGCTCACAAAATCATATTAAATAAAAAAGCAGACCATAAAAACTGTATGTACAGTATGATCAGTGATCAGAAGTTTCCCAAGAAAAAAACCTGCACCTGTTTATTTCTTAATCTGTAAGGGAGAGTTAACGGGTCAGTGGCACGATGACTGGTGATTTAAATTCTCCCGATTTGGTCTTGTAGCTCTCAAACGGCGTAAAGAACAGATACAGTTTTTATAATGAGGGAGAATGCTAAGAACTTGTTCAAGTTCACGGTCCTCGATTTTAACTGGGCTCTCGCCCCTCTCTGAGTGCTCTGAGCCCAGGGGTCCCCAGGCCCCGCCTGTCCCGCGCGGTTGGGGGGACTGTCCCACCCACAGCCGGGCCCAGCTCCTCTCGCTTGGCCCCCTCTTCTCTCCGCGCCTTCCCCCTTCTCCAGTCTCGAAAACCGTCGCTTTCTGGACCATCCGCGGTCTTTACCCAGACGAGGCAGGCGCGGAGGGCTCGCGGCTCGGCTCGCGGCGCCAGAGCGCCTCCGCTCGGCCGGCCTCCGCACACGCGCCCGCCCGGGCCCTCCCGCTTCCGCCTTCCGGCCGGCCGCGGACTCTGCCCCCGCGCGCGTCCCCGGCCCGCTATGGCTCCGCTCCGCTTCTCGGCCAACGTGTCGTGGCTGTTCCCCGAGCTCCCGGGCCTCCCCGCGCGGCTCCGGGCGGCGGGCAGCTCGGGCTTCGAGGCAGCCGAGGTCGCCTGGCCGTACTCGGAGGCGCCCGAGGCGCTGGCGCGCGCGGCGCGGGAAGCGGGCCTGCGGCTGGTGCTGATCAACACGCCGCCCGGTGCGCCGCGGGGCCGACCCGGGAGGCGGGGAGCGCCGGGGACGCGAGCGGCGGCTGACGCCCGTTCTCTCCGCAGGGGACCGAGAGAGAGGGGAGATGGGGCTGGGGGCCGTTCCCGGGAGGCAGGCGGCCTTCCGAGAGGGGCTGGAGCAGGCAGTGCTGTACGCCAGGGCCCTGGGCTGTCCCAGGTATCCTACCCTCTCTCCTCCTCCCCCTCCTCCCCTTCTTGCCCAGTCTCCTCCAAGACCCCGCCCCACCCTGGGCTCCAGAGCTCAGTGCTCTGAGCCCAGGGGTCCCCGGCCCTGGGAGGGATCTGGGAGAAAAGGACGCCAGGTCGGAGAGGCTCGGGAGTCCGAGTGCACTGGCCCTTCCACTGCTCCAGTCCTGGTCCTTTGTCAATTGCCTTTGGATTTTATCTGCCGTGTGTGGTTCTCCTGTTTGCTACTCTTTCGTCCTGGGATCCTGTGCTGGGGGCTGCCTGACCAGGGAGGTAGCCAGGTAAACATACGGCGAGATCCAGGTGAGGAAGGGTCAGTTCTTGGCTGCTGTGGGAGCAGAGTAGGCACCTGTCTGGGAGAAGAGGAAGCTTCTTACAGGTGGTGATGTTGAGCAGGGTGTTGATAGAAGGAGCACTGGAGGCCGGGATACGGTGGCCAGAGACCAGAGAAAGCTTGGTGTGCTCAGCAGAGTCCCTGAGGCTGGAAATGTGACCTTTTGGAATTGAGTGTGGCCGAGAGAGATCAGGGGGTAACAGGAGGTGGAAGGTGCACTGTGGGGCTGATCAAACAAACGTCCAATCCCGCCCTGGGCAAATGGGCTGAAGTGGAACTGGCAACAGGGGTCATTACTGGTGAGTGCTGGGGGCAGAAAGCAGATGGGAAGAATCTAAGGAGCAGACGCAGGAAGTGGAGACAAGCAGCATGGAATACTTGTGGGAAAGGGTCAAAATAATTTTTATAAAGTGAGGCTGACGCGTGTTTACAGCCTGCGGAGAGGACCAGTGGAAAGGAGACAGGACAGGGAGAGCAGAGTGAGAGGTCTCTGAGGCAGAAAGATGGGGTGACCCTCAGAATGTCAGCCTCAGGCTGACAGTGGAGTGTGAGGTGCAGGGGGTGAGGGCGTCACTGCCAGGTGATAGATCGGCCCCACAGGAGATGGGGGTGGGGTGGCTGGAGGAGATGCCCACAGGGAGCCAAAGGAGGGCCCTGCTTCCAGGATGGACTCCCCAACCCCCGCCAGTGCTGTCTCCCCCCAGGATTCACCTGATGGCTGGCCGAGTACCCCAGGGTGCTGACCGAGGAGCAGTCAAGAGTGAAATGGAGACAGTTTTTCTGGAGAACCTGAGGCACGCGGCTGGGGTCTTGGCTCAGGTGAGACCAAGGACGAATGGACACACACACTTACATGAATGTCCGTGTGTGCAGAGGGGCACACATTGGGGAGAGCAGATGAGGCACAAGGCCGGGGGCTATTCCAGCTCAGAGGGAAGGGGGAAGGGCTTCAGCAGCAACTGACTGACGGGACACAGGTCCACCATGATGCTAGGAGAGCCTCGTGGGACTGCTGGAGCCCATCAATACCCGCGTCACTGACCCTCAGTACTTCCTGGACACGCCCCAGCAGGGTAGGACTGTAGCCCTGCGCCCCCTCCAGTCCCCTGTGATTCTTGTGCTCTCTTTGGGTCTCACGGCCCCCTCCCCGGTTTCTCCCCCAGCGGCAGCCATCTTACGGAAGGTTGGAAGACCCAACCTCCAGTTACAGATGGTGAGTGGAAGAGAGGGAGTGCTTCTCAGAAGGCCCGTGTTCTCCCCGTCTGGGAAGAATGGGGTGGGAGAAGGGGCGCTGCAGGGTCTCTGACTGTAGCGTTCTCTACCCAGGACTTGTTCCACTGGCAGATCATGGATGGCAACCTGACAGGAAATGTGCGGGAGTTCCTGCCCCTTGTTGGTGAGAGGGGTCTCCTTGCCCCCTTTTTCTTTTTTTTTTTTTTTTATATTTTATTTATTTCTGAGAGAGAGAGACACAGCATGAGCAAGGGATGGTCAGAGAGAGAGGGAGACAGGCTCCAGGCTCTGAGGTGACTGTTAGCACAGAGCCCGACGCGGGGCTCGAACCCACGAACCATGAGATCATGACCTGAGCCAAAGTCGGACGCTTAACCGACTGAGCCACCCAGGCGCCCCATCTCCTTGCCCCTTCTTGTCTGTGTTACTCCCTGTCCTCCCACCCCCTCCGCCCCCCGCATCTGTCCCTCCGGCCTCAGCTGGAGCCTGGGCCCCACATCTGGCCACATCTGTCTCCAGGACACGTGCAGGTGGCCCAGGTCCCTGGCCGGGGGGAGCCCGACAGCCCCGGAGAGCTGAACTTCCCCTATCTCTTCCAGCTGCTGGAGGATGAAGGCTACAAGGGCTTTGTGGGCTGCGAGTACCAGCCTCAAGGTGAGGGGGGCTGGGGCTCCGGGCCTGGCCCTGGGGAACGGAACTCTGAAGGGACAGGTGTCAGACATGGCTGTTTCCCTCCTCATGGGGCGAGATGCCATGGCCTCCCTCTCTCCTCAGGAGACACAGTAGAGGGCTTGAAGTGGCTTCGTTCCTACTGGGATAGGCGGGGCCGCCCCCGGGTTGGCCAGTGAGGTCCTGCCCTGCACCCACGTGCCTCTGTGGGACAGTGTGCCGAGCATCCCGATCTGAATTAAAGACCACTGGCTGAACACTTTCCTATGTGTGTTATTGGGCGGGTGGAGGACACACAGTGTCTAACCCTCTGTCTCCCTGGGTTGCCTCCCTCCTACTGAGAAGGAACGTACAGCTCACACTCAAGTCCTCCAGTCCGTCGTGCCAGTGTTGCTTGGAGACGGGGGGTTGTGGGCCCACCTCTTCATTAACACGCCAGAAACCACGGGTCCTAGAGCGAAGGGTGTGCCTGTGGTCACAGGGGCTTCAGAAGCAGAGCTTGGATGGGAACCAAGGTGTCATTATCTCAATAACGACGTCCAGCAATGATGTTCAAGTGGGAAATGAAGACCAGAGGGCTCAAAATGTGAGCAGGGAGGCTGACAGCAGTCAAAGACTTGGGAGGCAGCATTCAGGCAGAGGAGGTCTCGGGTGGGTACCTGCTACCTGCTATGAATTCCTGGGACTCCACCAGGTGAGCAGGAAGGTGGAGCCCCTTTCTGGAAGAGTCCAGGGGCCTGAGAGGAAATGGGCACCTTGGGAAACTGACCTGACCCTCTGGAGCCCTGGGCCGGTCAGCGGCGGCGGGCACTCAGGGGGCGGCTCCTAATGTGAGGCTGGGGCTCAGACCCCTAAGATCTAGTCACAAAGCCTTCGGGGCCCATCAGTGTCCGGGCTCAGAAGGGCTGGTCAGTCCTGCTTCAGGCAGGCAGTCTCACAGATCCAGGATTCGGGGAACGGTGGCATTCACTGGTGCGGGCCTCATAGGAGTCGCGTCCAGAGGGTGAAGCAAGCTGTGTTGATGACAGACTCCAGGTGGTGGTAGGTGGAGACCAGCTGGGCAGGGGGGCTCTCACTGTCCTGGGGCTGTACCGGGAAGGGCTCTCGGAAAACCACTGTCAGGGACTGTGGGAACGTGGTGGGGGTGCCATGGTGAGTGGAGGGCAGGGTGGGTACAGGCAAGCAGGGCTCCCCAACCTCAGCAGGCTCGGGGCGGAGCCTCCCACTGGGCTGATGCAAGGCCCCTCCCTCACCCCCGGGCTCACCGTCTTTCCCAAGTGGGAATCCAGAAACACCAGCACAAAACAGTCCGTGAACTTCTGGTTCAGCACAACCTGCAGTGAAAGACAAAGTGCCACGGGGAGTGGGGTCTGTCTCGCCTGAGGCAGCATCCCCCTTCCTTGAGGGCATTCTGGAAGTGGGACCCGTTTGAGGAAGGCCTGAGTCCATCACCATACCCGAGCCCACCTGCACTCCACAGTCACCCAGGACCTTGTCTCTAAACTGAATCTCAGTCCTCGTCCTCACTGGCTCCTGGTCAGCCTGACTGGGAGGTTTCAGAGGTCGTACACTGAGAGGCCACACACAGAGCCAGCACACAGAAGCATACCACTGAAGGAGAGTTCCCTACCCTTGACATGACCCCTCCCTGCCTCCTGTCCTGGGTCTTCTAGCTCTTTGATCTCCACTGGGACTTATGTCTGTCTGTCCCTATGCTCAGCTCTGCAATCTCTTCCAGGTGATTCCTCCTACTCCCAGGCTTCATTCAGTTCATGTAGATGCTGCCCAGGTCTCTTTCCTGGGCTCCAGCTCCTGGCATCCAATTACCTTCTAGAATATGGTCCTGGGAGGGCTTCATGACCTCAGACTCCACTTGTCATCCTTACCCCAAAGCCGCTCCTGCTTCAGTGCTCCCACCACCAACAGGAGCACCACATCTGCTTACCTGCCCCCGCCCCCCCCCCCCCCCCCCCCCCCCCCCCCCCCCCCCCCCCCCCCCCCCCCCCCCCCCCCCCCCCCCCCCCCCCCCCCCCCCCCCCCCCCCNCCCCCCCCCCCCCCCCCCCCCCCCCCCCCCCCCGCCCAACTGTAGTCAGACCCACTCACGTCCACGTCCCTGGATGCCCCTTCCTACCCTGAAACCACCCTCCTCCACAAGTTCCTCCTAACTACTCTATGGACCAACTTCTACTTCTGAAGCCTTCTGCACATCTACCCAGAACCACTGCTCTCATCAGGACCCCCTCTTCAGTCTCCCGCCCCTAAGACCAGCCACTGATGAAGTTCCAGAGCTTGGCCCTCAGGATCTCTAACCAAAGGTTTGTGTTTTTGTGAGCTTTTGATGACAGCTCTAGGCTGTTCTCATGAGTCCTATGTGGAGGGTCAGAGCTCAAAGGGTTGTATGTGGGTCCACATGGTCCCGTTCCATCTAGGCCTCTCTCCAGAGCAGACCTTGCTCGGCTAGGCTAGGGCTGCTTCAGGGGGACACTTGTCATCTCTCTGATGAGGACTTCTGCTGTGTCTCCCCTTTCAGAGGAGGATCAGGGAGACTTACCAGGTACTGGGTTCCCAAGTCTGGGCTCTGGAAATGGCGACAGCTCTGAGGAAAACGGCTTAGGAGAACCTTGATCAGGCTCTGGTACCAGGAGACCGTCATTGACAGGAAGCAGTCCTAGGGGAAGGTCCATGGGGCTGGATCTGCTGTCCCAGGGCCACCTGAGACTTCTGCACCCTCTACCCTGGCTGCTGGTAGGATTCCTAGTATCCAAACCAGCCCCTTCTAGAGGGCACAGTGGCTTACCAGCTGGGGGTCAATGTCCCCAATGGATTTGGCATGGACTGCTTCTAGCAGCTCCTCCAGCTCGGCCAGGGCCAGGCGCCCCCCTAGCCGTAACCGATCAGGCCCTGGAGGCTCCAGCAAGAAGAGGCGCTTCCAAAGGGTGTCCCGACGGCAGTGCCCTCCAGCCAGCCGGACCAGCTGGGCCAGCCGTGCCCGTGCCACGCCCACCTCTGTAGCCAGTGGGGGAAACAGGGGAGCTGGTCCAGAGGCCAGGCTAAGGCCTGAGGCCTCCCCAGGGCTACCGGCTGAGCTCCCAGGAGTTTCTGGCTCAGGAGGCAGTCTGGGTGGCTTCCGGAAGCGGCGCATGTCAGCAGTGAGTCTGGGGAAGAGCTCTCGCTGGCTGGTGAGCACCACGAAGAACTGCAGCCTGGGGTGGGGAGGGGGAAGGAGTATGGTGATCACAACAGGAGCTGCCCAGAGCAGGGGCGCGGGGGAGGCTGGACAATGAGCACAGGCAAGGTAGGGGGTCTGCTGACCGCAGAATGTGCCGCTCGGCTTCTCCTTGCTCTTCAAAGGGTGCGGCACAGTGACACACAAGCAGGGACACATCAAAGTCATCCTGGTGACGAAGTCCCTCAGAGTCCAGGTAGGAGCCAGAGCTGTACAGTGAGGGTGGGGGAGAGGCCGGCCTGAGGTTCTCATGAGGCAAACCCCGTCCCTCCTACGCGAGACGACCCCGTCTCCCTACTGCTAGTATGGCCTCGACCTCAGCCCCACCACATCACATGCTGGTGTCCCCTTGCACTTTACCTGTGCCACGCGGATACCAGGGCATATTCGTTATGTTCTGGGCCTCCTGGCCGGGCCATCCGCAATGGCTTCATGTGGTAGGAGCTGGCATGGTCAGCCACGTAGTTGTATAGCTGGTGGGCAGCAATGAGTGGTGTGGAAAGCTCCAGAGTCCCTGAAGGGCAAGTTACAGGAGACGCTGAGCCTGGGACAGACACACTGCATGGGTGAGGCGGGGGGTTAGAAGTCCCTGAGGCTCTGATTGACAAGTGGACTGGCTCTTGTTTTCTGGGGAGCTCCTGTGGAACATCGAGATGGGACAAAAGTGGCTCAGGACAGAGGGCAGGGTACACATGACACAGGATCTAAACTTTGACATGAAGCAGCATGAAGAACTTAAGATAAAGACACAAACCAGAGACATGGGACAGGGTCCAAGTGACCTGAGGCGATTAACAATATGGGACAGGAGGTGCAGAGATTAGGTCCGGCCCCAGGAAGTGGTCCCATTGGCCCTGGCTTGGAGACACCCTGTGGTCTATTTCTGGTTCACCGGGTTGCCCTTGGGCACCAACCTTGGTAAATGTGATTGCGACCAAAGTGGGGCCCATCGGGGTGGTGGGCCAGGAAGTGTCGCAGGAAGGTGGTGAGGTGGTAGCCGTGTCGCAGCACCAGGTGGGCGCCCAGCACATGTTGGTGCACCAGGCGCAGGTGGAAGTCATAGCTGAATGAGTGCACGTGCATCAGGTCCCGCACCTTGTCGCATTCCTCGGTGAACAGCATGGACAGCTGCGGAGGTGGCGACGGGGACTGGGTCAGGAGATGGCAGGCTCCCCAGCGCATTCCTGTTTCTCTCCCTCTTCCGTGGGAAGAGGAAGTTCAAAATTCACCCTGTTGCTGTGGGCCTAGGGGGATTCCCTCTGCTGGAATAACATCGGTGGGGAGCCCTCCTCATTACTGTTCCCTTTTTCATACAGTATCCTGACTCTGTTCCATGAAACTACGATCATTTTGATAGATGGAACTTTTCACTCTATCCCAGATTCCACTAAAGTCCGAGACAGGTTCACTGATGCAGAAAACACTTGTTCAATGCCTTAGGAGGTCCTGTTCCAGGTGCTGGGGATACAGTGGGAAACAAGCAAGCTCTACCTTCAAGGAGCTTGCATTCTAGCAGTGGGTAGGTAAGAATAGATGAGGCTGCAGTACGCTAGAAGGTGGGGTTATGGAAAATCTAGTAAAGCAGCTGCAGTTTTAAACAGCGTGTTCGGGGTAGGCCAGGTGTGTCATGTACTATTAGGAAGTCTTTCCTGGCCCCTCCCATCTCTCCAGCTTTACCTTCCCATCAAATCCCTGCTCTTCCCAGCACATCATACATTCATTCTCTTCATACTTTTGTACCTGCTTGTTCTCTCTGCCTGGAATGCTGCTCTCCCTGCCCCCCAAATCTGGCTAACTCCTACTCATTCGTAAAGCTTCATCTGAGATATCCGGCCAAGGCTAGGCCAGGGTGGGCCTCCTCTGATTGATCTGCAGAATGGATGAATGAACCACGGAGGGAGGGAGGAAGGAAGGAAGGCAGAGACACAGAGCTGGTGCTTCTCTTTGTGGAGATCACCATTGCTGAGAGTGTCAGTGGCTGGATCTGCGGTACCGGAATGGCCGAATCTACACGACCATTCCATCAGAGGCACTG